TTAAAACGGCGTCACACGTGCCTGTTCCTAGCAAAGTATATTTTACGGAGACGTTGAAAAAATATACAGGAACCTATTTTTATGGTCGAGCTAACGAGAATAATCGGTGGCGAAAACCAGAGACGTCGCGGCTTCCTTGGTAGTAGTATTCCTCGATGAAATGGATTATACTCGAAACCGACGTACAGAACAATAATAAGATGCGAAATAATAGGCCCTTAAAATAATGGGGTGATTCTGTACCGCGTGGAGATGCATGACAAATACATCTGTACAAAAGGTCATTCCCCGTCCTGTTACCCTTTAAGCCCCCCGTGTCAAGGACTGCGTGTCAATGCACAGGCTTATCAAAAGCTTTACACGTAAGTAACAAGGGTCGCGACCACCGCTGGGCCTTTGAGGTGTACGCGAAACACCTCTCTCTTACTAGTTTACGTGAGCAGCGTTCATGTCATATACGTACAAACACATGTGTAATACATATATTCATACACAAAATATACGACAGACATATATAGTGTAAGTATGTGTGAGTGCGCGGAAAAACTTTCTTTTTTTTTGTACAATCAAACACTTGTTTCGTCATAAAACGCACGTAAACGTCATACGTTTTCATGAATATTTTCAAAGAATAATACAAGTGAGAACTAAATACGACTACTAACCACGGTTAATTTATTTTCACTTTTGAAAAATCTGTACTCACTTTCTATGGTAGAACGGGTACTAATTTCCGTGCGTCAAACCTGAACCTCTTAACGTGATATGCGGTATGGAGAGAGGCGGACACGATTTTAATTTTTCCACTAACATTTCGTTATCGCATTAACACGAACAATATGATATAAATGTTATTAATGTTACATGCATTATCATCAGTTTTGAGCAATATTTAGATGCATTTATCTAGATAAATTAGACATCATACACCTGATTGTTATCTAAGATCAATTATATACCTATATAGATAAATAAATAATTTCTAGTTTCGATTAATTAATTAGTATCATTAGATTTTCATTTTGTCATACGAGTTTTGGTAAACCAGTTACTGATAAAAAAAAGTATTATGAATTATTATACACTTTTATTCCTGTAAAATGATAATAAATGTTTATATTTTTCTTAGTTTTTATTTTTTTCATAGCAGTACCACTTATTCAAATTAGACGTATAACTCTTTGTATAGGTACAGTACAGTATCTACGAAGTGATATCGATAAGAAAACAAATTGTTATTTATTATTACTTTGATTGTGTGTGTGTGGATTACTAGAAATGGCTATGGGGAAATAATACTGTTTTCGTTTGTTTATATATAGGTTAACATAAAATCCTTGTCAAGCGGTGCACATTTACCCCTATAAATCATAGGTGTAAATAGACGTTCATGATTTACGAAACAATTATACATTATTATATTGAAATAAACAATAAATAATATTGTTTTTAAATATCTTGTTTTATAAAAAACGAAATTTATATTCTACAATTTCATGTTGGTATTGAATTTTAGTGAAATTTAAAAAATAACTGAATTTAGCGTAAAATAAATACGTTATAAATATATGTAATAATCGTATACGTTCGCTATTTATTTTTCCACACATATTTCGTACACGTCACCCTTGTGCAAGTCGTTTGTTGTTGAATAAATGCTCGTGAAGAAAAACCTGGTCGTTAGGATTGAATCGAAAACACATCATCATCACTACTTGACCACATTGTGAACAAATATCGTTCAACCCCGTACTCTCAACCTACTTACTCGTATATGAAACAATCGATGGTTTATATTTGAAAACAACAATTAACATCAGTACAAAATATAACGATTTCTCTAGTCCGTCCTTCTGATTATGTTTTAAACCGAGCTTAGGATAAGATACACGAAAAATTTGCTTTGTGGCTCAAAGAGCCATGATGAATGGGGATTAAATGCGAGTAATTTCGAATAAAACAAAAGACCCGTATTCCACATTACGGGTATTTCGCGATTATTAACAAAACAATCGACTATTGCCAGTGCTGGCCAGCCACTGACATGCACTAAACAATTACATGAGTGCAGTGAAGATAAAACGAGAGAAAATATAAATCATGATTTCATTCGATTCAGTTTACCTGACGGAAAAAAAAATCTTGGTTTGGAAATAAAAATCCGAAAATTCTCTCCGAACGGTCTGAGACGCAAAATAAATCCGCGCTACAACAATTAAACGGCACATGGTCCGCGTTTCCGTGCTGTTTCCGGAAGTACTGCGTGAGTAAGCCGTTCGAGTTAAAAATTCGCAAGATCTATGTATATTAGGGTGGTCCTTATTTATGAACTTCATTAATGTTATGTCATGGGCTCGAAATTTTGTTTGGTATATTGACAAGATAATTTTGGTAAAATTTGAATTTGATAAGTCAACCCCTTCACGTGCCTCAAAGGGGTTAAAGTGTATGATAAGGGGGTGAATTATACATTTTCACCTGTTATGTCTTAAATTCTAAATTTAGACCATACATGTATAGGACTATTTTTATAGTAATAAATATTTACTACAAAAAAGGTATCTTGTAAATTTTTTGTAAAATTAATACTTTTTCGTAAAATTTAGAAAAACCAGTCAAAGTCAATATTTTTGGAAAATGGTTCGTTTTTTAGTTATTTATCTGTATTTCCTTAGATTTTATAGCTACACAAAAATTGTAAATTAGCAATATTTTTCCACACAATATTATCCATCCAACACTTTTATATTTAAAAATGTTATGGTTTCCCTTTTTCAAAGTCATCATTATTTAATGCAGTTTTATTAAACACGAATCACACTAAACATATACCTAATTATATAATTTTGATAATAATAAAATATAGATTTAAGATAATAAACTTTAGAATTGAAAAGTATAGATAACGTATTGTTGTCGCCCTTGTGTAGATAATATTATATTTTATTATTATACTACCTACCGTATAAAACAGATAATTAAATAAAGTCCAAATAATAAGTTGAAATACATTTAGTTGGTTTCTTTCCTTCATATTATTCGTGTGTACTTAATAGTTGGAATATTTACATATTATTTTATTTACGTTTTACTTTAAAGATAATTTATAAAATAATAATAAAATGTCTAGACAACAATTATTTTTAATTGGAACTATGAAAAACCAAATTACTGGCTCTAAATTACCATCAAAAAGAGATTGCCTAAGTGTTTTATTTTACAATATGCGATTCGTCAAATTAAATTTAAATGAAAGTTCACATCTGGTGATCGATGAATGTATGGTTTTTTGGAGAAAAGCGCGTATTCCTACGCAGTATTCTTCCGACTGTGCGACTAAATTAAAAAAGTTATATGAGTATTGGAGATCATTGGATAAAAATAAATCAAGAAAAACAGACACACAAGAAAAACGTAATAAAATATTTTTAGAAGAATTAGACGATATTTTTGATATTGCTCATGCGAACGCTTTGAATACAATAAAAATTGAAGAAGATAAACAGTTTTTATTAAAACAACGCCAAAAAGGGCGTCCAGAGTGTATGCTTGGTATAGATATGAAATTAACGGGTGTCGAAAATCGTAAAATTTGTCGACAAGAAGAAGAAGAAAAAAAAAAATATACAGCAGAAGGAAACAGAAAATTTCACAGGTAGTTTTTAATTATAATCTAATATACATACGGCGGTATTCTATGTATTGACAACCATTTTATTCAAACTATTTTAGTTTTAGACGAAGTTCAGGATTTTAGCAGTTCAAATTCCGAGTGCGAAGATATAGATACAGATATAGATATAGAGGAAACCGTTGACATACATGATATTCCTAGGCCTTCAAAACCAACACGTGCAAAACAAAATATTAAAACACCTCGTTTAGCAGCAGTTCTTGATAAATGCAAAATCAGTGATCGGGATACTGTACATTTATTAACAGCAGTAGCAGAATGTTTCCAGGTAAATTGTTCTGAGTTTGTGATAAATAGGACAAGTATAAAAAAAGCTCGAGAAAATATACGTCAACAAACATCGGAGACAATTAAAACTAACTTTTTAAATCTTGACCTAAATTTTATTATATTACACTGGGACTCCAAATTACTTCCAGATTTATTAAACAGAAAAAATGTAGAACGACTTCCTATAATTGTTACGGCACCAAATGTAGAAAAACTTTTAGGAATCCCTCCATTGATCTCAGGTACTGGAAAATATATTTGTTCTGCTGTGCACAACACATTACAAGAATGGTGTCTGGAAGATAAAGTCCAGGCGTTTGTATTCGATACTACTGCGTCTAACAGCGGTCGATTAAACGGATCATGTATTCTTTTAGAACAATTATTAAATCGTAATATTTTATTTTTTTTTGCGTGCCGCCATCATATTTTTGAGATTGTCCTACAAGCAATTTTCGTTTATACCAGAATTACTGTTATATCTGGTCCAGACATACCTCTATTTAAGCGTTTCAAAAATAATTGGAAAAATTTAGATTTAAATAACTTTAGAATATATTCAACATTTCCTAGTTTAAATAAAAATTTAAAAGCTGTTGCAGATGAAATTGTTTTATTTTGTGTAGACAAACTTAAAAATCACTTTCCGAGAGATGACTATAGAGTTTATACAGCTAGTTTTAATATTTTTAGGAGGAATACCTCCAAATGGTATACGATTTCGTCAGCCAGGTGCTTATCACTTAGCTCGATTAAAATTTTAATGTTTTGTGATCAATTTCAAATTTCAACAAAAGAAAAAAAGTCACTGGAAGATATATGTAGTTTTATTGTTGAATGTTATATTCAAGTGTGGATTTCGGCTCCAGATATTATTACCGCTCCTATAAATGATATTATGTTTTTAAAAAAGTTATTGAATTATAACAATAATAAATTGGGAGAAGTTACTTTAAAAAAATTCATAAATCACTTGTGGTATTTGAATGAAGAATGTGCTGTGTTTTCATTATTTGATGACCGAGTTAACTACAATACTAAACATCGAATGGCAAATAAAATTTTGCAAGGATACGAAGAAAATATAAACGAAGAAGAAAATGAAGGTTCAAATAAAAAAATTAACGTACAATTTGACGATGTATCAAATTTTGTTAATCAAGATCTTCCATTTGCCCTGCTTAATAATAAATCATGGAAATTATTTCAACGATTTAAAATATCTTTTAACTTTTTACGAGAAGATCCAAGCTCATGGAAAGCCTTAGATGAGTATATACAAGCTAAAGAAATATTATCTGCACTAAAAGTCGTTAACGATACAGCTGAACGTGGGATAAAATTGATGGAGGAATATAATGAAAAATTCACTAAAAATGAAGATCAAAAACAATTTATTTTACAAGTATGAAATATTTATATAATCTTGTGATATTTTACCTTTATCAAATAATATAAATACATGTAACTTTTTTAGGTTGTTCGAGAATATCGCCAACAATATCCAGGGTTTAGCCGTGAGATTTTAAAGAAAACTTATGCCTATTAATAATACATCATTAATATTATTTTTTAATATTTAATGAATAAACTTAAAATTAAATTTGATTAATATATTGTGTAACATGAATACAATATTTAAAAAATTAACATATTTTAATAAATAAAAAGTTGTAAAAACCTATATTTTTAAGGTTTTTCTTGATTATTTACAAAAGGGTTAATGTAACAAAAAAAATGAAAACTTCTTATTTATAGATAATATTGTGTGGAATAATACTGCTAATTTACAATTTTTGTGTATCTATAAAATCTAAGGAAATACAGATAAATAGCTAAAAAACGAACCATTTTCCAAAAATATTGACTTTGACTGGTTTTTCTTAATTTTACGAAAAAGTATTAATTTTACAAAAAATTTATAAGATACCTTTTTTGTAGTAAATATTTATTACTATAAAAATAGTCCTATACATGTATGGTCTAAATTTAGAATTTAAGACATTACAGGTGAAAATGTAAAATTCACCCCCTTATCATACAACTTTAACCCCTTTGAGGCACGTGAAGGGGTTGACTTATCAAATTCATATTTTACCAAAATTATCTTGTTAATATACCAAACAAAATTTCGAGCCCATGAGTATAAATTTTTCAATTTTTTTTTTAACCTCTATAACTAAGGACCACCCTAATGTATATATATATATATAAATAGTCCATGGGGGATGATCGATGATCAACACAGACATGATGAATACGTATTTGCATAGCATATGCGCGATGATGTCGCGATGGCGCGTTCCGTTCACAAACGAAAATATATGATACGTATGAATGCATGTACAAAGTAATTTTAATCGTTCTCTCAGTCTCGTCGTATTCCTTTGCATCGCATAGAAATCACATTACCCCAAGACGAACGTACGTACATATTATTATTATTATTTGTCAGCGATATAACATTTCGAGATCTACTCGGAGGTAACAAAACAGGTCGTCGTCAGCGTGTTGGTCATCCATCATGCAATTTTTACGCTGACAAAAGTGTATACCATATATAATATACCGTATATACCATATTCTATTCGTCGCATACCCGTCAAGTCTCGAAGAACCTCCTCTGTAGTATCGTTACCGGTTGTATATATATGTATGTATGGTATGTATGTGTATACGGAGATGATTCATCATTTCGCGTAATTCCTCCTGTGTCACTGATGCCCGACCGTAAAACTATTCTTTTGCGCGGAAAACGCGTTTTATGTACCATTGAAAAATATATATCCGAAACAAAGTGTGTGTGGTGCACATATGTTTTCAAGTGTAGTCTTCTTTCAGAATTTACTTATGAAACTAAAAGTACGTAGCCAAGCAATACAACTAACGATATTTCAGATATTTGGCACTGCAAAGTACCATTTTTTAGTTTCTTTACCCCTCGTTTCGATGCTAAATGATAAACTCTGCCAAATGAATCATAACCACATAGTATTCCACCACCAAAAGAGAAAAAATAATAATTCATTATCCAAATCATTTTTAAGTTTCTAATTTACCGGTTTCATATCGATACGATTAATTTGAAAATTAGATTCATTCGAGTCGAGCTATCAAATGATGTATATACATAACGACACCGAGTGTTTAAAAACTTTAAAAAACACTACATATTTTTATTAGGATTGTTTATGATCGCCTCCAAGGCTTAAGGATTAATCATATTTATTCATCGTTTAATTTAACGTGTAACATTTCACCAACGGATATATATAATAATACTGTGATATGGCATATATTTAATAATTTACTTATTTCTATATTTATTTACAGAATATTTTTACAATTACAAGATTGATTATAGTGCATTACTTTAAAATTACAGTCTACTCGGGAAATAAATTAATTACAAATGTGTAATATACTAACTTAATATATATATATATATATTTAAAAAATGTGTTCCATCGAGATTATGTAAATAATAATTAAATATTATTTAAATGTTGTATTTATACAACTAAGACGTAATATAAGTACGAGTACGAATATTGTATAAACTAATATATTGATAATACATATAAAAAACCATATAGGTAAACAAATTTAACATATGATATTTTTAAAATATTGAATTCCGTTATTGTAAAATTCGTATTTGTATGTTCGCACTCGTATGTTGTAGTTAGTTATATACATACGGTGCGTCGTAATGTAAACTATGTGTGGATGGCGATAAATTTATTTTGACAATATTACAAGTGCTGACCAAGGGATTCTAGAATTTTATTATGTAATATTTTGAATAGACACATTATAGTCAGTGTTAAATATATAAACAATTTTTTTCAAAACAAAAAACTTTACTTTTTTCATAGTGAATATCTTTACCATTATATGTTGAGCACTAATTCAAATAATAATAGAAAAATAAAAATGTGAATAATGTAATAATAATTAAAGCAAATTTATTTGATCTGTAATATATTTGTATTAACTATTATAAAAACACCTATATGAAAACATTTTATAAAAAAAAAAATATTATTAAAACAATATTATAAATGCAATTTAAAATTAAAGAGCGGGAATTTGATAGGGACCAGTTATAAAAACATCTTCATAAGACCAAAATGGGCTTTCAATATAGCTAAACGTAAGTTATTTCAACTGAAATTACAACTTGTTGATAATTATAAATTACGAAAGTTCGTATAACCACTTCCCCAGCATCATTATGAAAAACGTTTTTATCTCGAAAGGTTCATAAGCACAAATATTGAGGTTTTTAGTACAAATCAGCACAAACGAGGCAAAAATTATTGGCATCATTAAAATTATTAAATATGAGATTTGGGTACACCATTGTACGTGTATCTCTATTCTATGCATTGGTAATCGTTCATTGATCATCGTGTGTCGAATTCACAAGCTTGGCGCGGAACGCGGAATCGACTCCTGCTCGATTCTTTATGTAGCACAACAAAAGGACCGTGAGAACCAAGAGCAGCCGCGGACGGAAACAACGTTATTGCAAATACATACTGCTGGCATGTTGGTCGCTTCAATAATACCTTGTATCGTATTTGAATTTTAATTTTCAACTAACTTTTATTGTGAAAAAAATAGCTTTTCCCAAAAGCACTATTATTTTTCAGTCAAGTGTAAATGTAGCTTTTTAAATTTTTTTTTTATACTTTTTTAATAAAGTTTTCACAAGTATATTAACATTTTGAAAATCATGAAAATAAGCCAATTATATTTTTTATCATAATATTTTTAAAACCCATCACTTTAAAATAAACATAATATAATAGCTGGGTTTGAATAATTTATACGCGTGGAATAGCGAATAATAAATAACAAAAAACGAAGAAAAAACAATATTTTTTACACGTTTCGCAGTGGAAGTCATCGACATATTTACTGACGTCAAATATATTAAGAAGACACGTTGACGGAGTGAAGCGATTAGGTCTTGTGTTCACGTATTTAATTTTAACGGCAAACTACTTACTTACATGGACATTTCTATATTTTCGTCGTCCTGTAGTCACGCACAGAGAAATGTATATACGTTTAAATTTATAGATTATATGTTCAAATGTTATAATAGTACGTACAAGCCAAAATTGCGCGAGACGTATAATTATAATGATGAATAAATAATAATATGGACGGTGTTCTGGTAAAAGGGAATAAGTTAATTTTAATGATTTTATTTGATTTTTTTTTTTTATAGCATATATGCTCATAACCTATTACAATCCACATCGATTGACAAGACACGATCAATATTGTATGTTGATGTTTTCATAAAACTTAAAAGAAAAAGAAATAGTCTTCAGCCATCGTACAAGTATGAATGACTGAACGTGTTACTTTTATGTTGTATCGTATTTACATTAAGACATAAATTTCAACGTTAATAATATTAACAATAAATGAGTAAATGCGTGGTGTTCATAAAAAATATGTTCCTCAAAGAAAATATTAGTCGTATAATAACTAGTATGAATCCAGTAAAATCAAATCCTGTCCAAAAGTAATTAATCACTTTTTGGTCTAATCTAAGTTTAATAATAGTATAAGTTTGAAGTTAACAAATAATTTTAAGTTTCAAGAAAACCCGTATTTGAATAAATGATTGAAGAACATTTATCGAAAATATTGATTAATCATTTTTTAGTTTTCTCCAAATAATGTTTTTGTACTTATTCCTTTATCACATAGTCATCGTCTATGTGTTTCTGTTTTTTTTTTTTTTTTTATTTAGCAGCCCAAATGCTGGTTGGCAGCTATTTTCCACTTCTGATGCTTCTCAGCTTTCATTTTTAATTCGCATTAAGATCTGTAGTCCATATCTCTAACTATTTGACTAATGCAGTCTAGTGGCGATCACCCTCTGCTGTTATCCCGAGCATTTTTCTTCTGTTATACCTATGATCAATGTTTCACTTCTGTGCAATGCTACACTCACAACATAAGTCTTAAATAGATTTTTTTAGATTTATTTATTTTTATGTATCTGTGTAGCGTAAATAATACGTTTTTATTGAAACGATTGTTGTTAAGGCATTTCCGTATCCGTTTCGAGCCTTTCACAATGAATAATTAATCTTTGTTCTAACCGTATGCCCCTAATTTTCTCATTTGTTATTCAATTTAATTAATTTCTGGCGCACATCCCGTTAAATACTTATCATTTAATAAATACTATTTCTTCATGATTAATTTATCGCTGACCTTGATTTCACGTAGTCAGAAGCCAAGTGGCTTTAAGCGTGCACTGCGACTTCAAAAGTTGAGCATACAACTCGTATATCCGGAAATATAATATTATTAATAATCTCGTACATGTAATATTATAATTATATAAGCGTATGGCAAAACGTATTCCGGGAAATCCTTAAGTGGAATAGTAG